CGAGTTTCCAAATGGTCAGTCCGCCCCTGATACAAGGGGTGTAATGAGAAGTGGGGCGCTCTGGGCATCTAGTCTTACAGATACAACTGTCCCTTTGAGGGCAACCATAATGCTGATGTGGCTCGCGATGAATTGGAGTTTGACACCCCAGACCTAGAGGTTTGGTTGCATGTCAGATTAGAAACAACTAGAGAGGGGCTAAATTGCAGGGTACACCTGATAGATGTACAGCACTAAAAAGTACATAAACCAAAGAAAAATGCACCTGAAAAATGACTCCACACGTCCATGCATCATAATGTGGTGACATCAGTGTCCAATGCTCCACCCTACGCGTTTCGTCACAAGTGGACGTTATCACAGCATGGACACTGACTCTCGCATTAAGCACATACTGTAAGTACCTATGGACAGGTCAGCACAGCCACACTAGGGACTAAGGAGCTTGGCTCCTCCTACTGGCCAAAAAATCCCAAAAAGAAGGAATGATCCCTTTGGAAGGATCAGCACAGCCACACAGGAGAACGAAAAATCCTAACGCTATGTTTGTTCTTGAGCCTTTGAAACGCATGGCAATTGTTTATGTACTGCTGTAGCAAACTAAGGCCTTGTTTACAATTGGGCTTGGGGAGTGTTAAAAAAAAGGCATATTAGCCACATTTTTACCATCCCAATCACCCCCCAACTGCAAAGGCAGTCATGTGGGGGTATCTACATGCTGCAACGCAAAACCTACCCTACTGTCCATGTTCAGTGTTCAGTACCACTGCCCAATGCAACCTATTCAAGTGAACGCTAGCTATGGCATATATTCCCATTGAAAAGGCCCATTTGGGTTTCAAAAATAAAAAAAACAAAAACAGCCGCTGAGCAAAAATCAATTGGCCACGGTTTGCTGTACATAAACAACAAGTGTGAGGGAGCCCTAAGGGCCAGATCACACTACAAAAACGCACTTCGGATGCATTCTGGATACGTTTTTACTGACAGTTCACACCACACGCAGTTCCGGGGCAGTTCTGATGCAGTTTTCCATGTTCCAGTACGGTTCTGTGCAGAAAAAAATGCAAAAAGTGCAGGCTGACGCAGTTTTGATGCGTTTTTGACACTTTCCAGTACATTTTCTTATGCATTCCAGTTTATGTTTTCCCCTCTCTTTTTCTTCAATTGAAATAGGGACATGTGCCTTCCAGTGCGTTTTTGGTGCGTTTTGGTGCATTCCAGTAGGGTGACAGTATGTAAAAAGAAAAAAAATAAAATAAATAATAATATAAAAAAAATAAAATAAAAATGTAAAAAAATGTTTTAAAAAATTATAATTTTTGATTATAAACTAATTTGTTTTTTTTGTTTTTTTAACTAAAAAGATAACGGAATAAATTTTGGCCAAGATTTATGAAGAACGATTATTTATTTGCAAAATTTTATAAGAAACACTTTTTTTCAAAATTTTTGGATATTTTCATTTATATAGCAAAAAAAATAAAAATCCCAGTGGTGAATAAATACCACCAAAATAAAGCTTTATCCTTCTCAAAAAAATGCTAAAAAATTCATATGGGTGCAGTGTTGCATGACCGCGCAATTGTCATTCAAAGTGTGATAACGCTGAAAGCTGAAAATTGTCCTGGGAGCAGGAAGTGGGGGAAAGTGTCCGGACAGGAAGGGGGGTGAAAGTTTCCGGACTGGAAGGGGGGAAAGTGTCCGGACTGGAAGGGGGTGAAAGTGTCCGGACAGGAAGGGGGTGAAAGCGTCCGGACTGGAAGGGGGGGAAAGTGTCCGGACAGGAAGGGGGGGGAAAGTGTCCGGACAGGAAGGGGGGGAAAGTGTCCGGACTGGAAGGGGGTGAAAGTGTCCGGACTGGAAGGGGGGTGAAAGTGTCCGGAGATGGAAGGGGGGTGAAAGTGTCCGGACTGGAAGGGGCTGAAAGTGTCCGGACTGGAAGGGGGTGAAAGTGTCCGGACTGGAAGGGGCTGAAAGTGTCCAGACTGGAAGGGGGTGAAAGTGTCCGGACTGGAAGGGGGTGAAAGTGTCCGGACTGGAAGGGGGTGAAAGTGTCCAGACTGGAAGGGGGGGAAAGTGTCCAGACTGGAAGGGGGCGAAAGTGTCCGGACAGGAAGGGGGTGAAAGCGTTCGGAGATGGAAGGGGGGTGAAAGCGTTCGGAGATGGAAGGGGGGTGAAAGTGTCCGGACTGGAAGGGGGTGAAAGTGTCCGGACTGGAAGGGGGGGAAAGTGTCGCGGACTGGAAGGGGGGGAAAGTGTCCGGACTGGAAGGGGGTGAAAGTGTCCAGACTGGAAGGGGGGGAAAGTGTCCGGACTGGAAGGGGGGTGAAAGTGTCCGGACTGGAAGGGGGGGGGAAAGTGTCCGGACTGGAAGGGGGTGAAAGTGTCCGGACTGGAAGGGGGGGAAAGTGTCCGGACTGGAAGTGGGGGGGGTGAAAGTGTCCGGACTGGAAGGGGGGTGAAAGTGTCCGGACTGGAAGGGGGTGAAAGTGTCCGGACTGGGAGGGGGGAAAGTGTCCGGACTGGAAGGGGGTGAAAGTGTCCGGACTGGAAGGGGGGGAAGTGTCCGGACTGGAAGGGGGAAATTGAAAGTGTCCGGACTGGAAGGGGGGGAAAGTGTCCGGACTGGAAGGGGGGTGAAAGTGTCCGGACTGGAAGGGGGGGAAAGTGTTCGGACTGGAAGGGGGTGAAAAAGTGTCCGGACTGGAAGGGGGGGAAAAGTGTCCGGACTGGAAGGGGGGGAAAGTGTCCGGACTGGAAGGAGGGGGAAAGTGTCCGGACTGGAAGGGGGGGGGGGGTCCGGACTGGAAGGAGGGGAAAGTGTCCGGACTGGAAGGAGGGGAAAGTGTCCGGACTGGAAGGGGGGGGGTGAAAGTGTCCGGACTGGAAGGGGGGGAAAGTGTCCGGACTGGAAGGGGGTGAAAGTGTCCAGACTGGAAGGGGGGGGGAAAGTGTCCGGACTGGAAGGGGGGTGAAAGTGTCCGGACTGGAAGGGGGGTGAAAGTGTCCGGACTGGAAGGGGGTGAAAGTGTCTGGACTGGGAGGGGGGAAAGTGTCCGGACTGGAAGGGGGTGAAAGTGTCCGGACTGGAAGGGGGGAAGTGTCCGGACTGGAAGGGGGTGAAAGTGTCCGGACTGGAAGGGGGGGGGGAAAGTGTCCGGACTGGAAGGGGGGTGAAAGTGTCCGGACTGGAAGGGGGGGAAAGTGTTCGGACTGGAAGGGGGTGAAAGTGTCCGGACTGGAAGGGGGGGAAAAGTGTCCGGACTGGAAGGGGGGGAAAGTGTCCGGACTGGAAGGAGGGGAAAGTGTCCGGACTGGAAGGGGGGGGAAACTGTCCGGACTGGAAGGAGGGGAAAGTGTCCGGACTGGAAGGGGGTGAAAGTGTCCGGAGATGGAAGGAGGGGAAAGTGTCCGGACTGGAAGGGGGTGAAAGTGTCCGGACTGGAAGGAGGGGAAAGTGTCCGGACTGGAAGGAGGGGAAAGTGTCCAGACTGGAAGGGGGTGAAAGTGTCCGGACTGGAAGGGGGGGAAAGTGTCCGGACTGGAAGGAGGGGAAAGTGTCCGGACTGGAAGGAGGGGGAAAGTGTCCGGAGATGGAAGGAGGGGAAAGTGTCCGGACTGGAAGGGGGTGAAAGTGTCCGGACTGGAAGGAGGGGAAAGTGTCCGGACTGGAAGGGGGTGAAAGTGTCCGGACTGGAAGGGGAGGAAAGTGTCCGGACTGGAAGGGGAGGAAAGTGTCCGGACTGGAAGGGGGGGAAAGTGTCTGGACTGGAAGGGGGTGAAAGTGTCCGGACTGGAAGGGGGGGAAAGTGTCCGGACTGGAAGGGGGCGAAAGTGTCCGGACTGGAAGGGGGGGAAAGTGTCCGGACTGGAAGGGGGGGAAAGTGTCCGGACTGGAAGGGGGGAAAGTGTCTGGACTGGAAGGGGGGGAAAGTGTCCGGACTGGAAGGGGGGGAAAGTGTCCGGACTGGAAGGGGGGGAAAGTGTCCAGACTGGAAGGGGGGGAAAGTGTCCAGACTGGAAGGGGGGGAAAGTGTCCGGACTGGAAGGGGGGGAAAGTGTCCGAACTGGAAGGGGGGGAAAGTGTCCGAACTGGAATTGGTTAAGGGCCGGTTCACACTATTGAAATGAAGATGCATTCCAGATGCGTTTTTGTATGCACATTTTTTATGCATTTTTGGTGCGTTCTGGTGTGTTTTTAATGCATTCCAGTTTGTTTTTCCTCTCTTTTTCTTCAATTTAAATAGGGACATGTGCGCTCCAGTGTGTTTTTGGTGCGTTCCAGTGCGGTTTTGATGCATTTTACCACATTCCAGTACAGTTCTGTGCATAAAAAAAAAAAAAAAATTTTCTGCAGCTGGAACAGAATTTAAATAGGGACATGTGCGTTTCAGTGTGTTCCGGTGCATTTTTGATGCGTTTTCCTGCGTTCTAGTACAGTTCTGTGCAGGAAAAATGCAGCCTGTTATACTTTTTTTCTGCAGCCAAAACGCAATGGAATTGAAAGCACTGATGTGAACTATGACATTGACAACCTACTTTCTGTGCATTTTGGATGCAGAAAAAAAGCAACTGAAATGCATGTCGTGTGAACTGGCCCTAAATGTCACCCATTTAGAGCTCAGATCTACTTTAAGGGCCGGGTCACACTATAGAAACGCAGTGCAGATGTGTTCCAGATGCATTTTTGCATGTAAGTTTTTTGATGCATTTTTGGTGCATTCTAGTGTGTTTTTGATGCGTTTTGACGCGTTCCAGCGCATTTTTTTGCATGCATTCCAGTTAGTTTTTCCTCTCTTTTTCTTCAATTTAAATAGGGACATGTGCATTCCAGTGTGTTTTTGGTGCATTCCAGTGCATTTTTGATGCGTTTTACTGTATTCCAGTACAGTTCTGTGCAGGAAAAATGCAGCCTGTTCTTTTTTTTCTGCAGCCGAAACGCATTGGAACTGCAAGCCTTGATGTGAACTATGACCAGGGGCAGACTGACAACTCATGGGGCCCCCGGGCAATAGGGGATCATGGGGCCCCTGTGTCCTTGCCCACACCCAAAAAAGCCTATGAAAAAGGTACCAGGGGCATCTCATGGGGCCCCTTACTGACCCCGGGCCCTCGGGCAGTGCCCGAGTATCCAAATGGTCAGTCCGCCCCTGACTATGACACTGACAACCGTATCACCTACTTTCTATGCATTTAGGATACAGAAAAAAAAGCAACAGAAACGCATGTCGTGTGACCCGGCCCTGAAAGACGAGGTCACTCTTAGCAGAAGGAAGGCTACGCTGTGGAAGGTAAAAGTGACATTTAAATCATGGAAGTCCAGGCACTCTCTCTGTGAACCCTCTGGAGGGACTTTTCAGTTCTTTTGGCTGGAGGACATCAGATTTTTGCAGCCTTCCACCCCGCCTCCGGATTCAATAGTTGTTCTGTTCCTGGCATATCTTGGACGCACACAGGCTCTGCGAATCGAATCCTCCCGGGATCCATACGGTATTGATCCTCCTGTCAATGGGTAAAGACTCTGAACTATGGTGTGATTAATTGAATGCGTCGACTTTATCTGGAATAAGTGCAGGCATCCGCGGCCCGTCCAAGACCTTCAAGCGGAATATTGTCACATTCGTTTGGCGCGAGCGTAATGCGATTAGCGGGTTTTTTCTCCAATATGACAGTAATTTGTAACAAATAGAAATACGCTCCTGGAATCGGCAGACTGATGAAATGGGACGATTTGTAATGTGCTGAGGAACGGTTCAGGGGAGGCGCGCAGACATTTTAATGGAGGCGTTCTGCCTTTTTTTTCAGATTCGCAAAAGCAGGAAGGAATCGTTTAAACTCCTAACCCTGACCTACAAAGCCGTTCACAACACTGCCCCTGACTACCTCACCAACCTGATCACCAAGTACCACCCTACCCGTACCCTTCGCTCCTCACAGGACCTCCTTCTATCCTGCTCCCTGGTCTCCTCCTCCCATGCACGACTGCAGGACTTCTCCAGGTCCTCCCCCATCCTCTGGAACTCACTGCCCCAATCCATCAGACTGTCGCCTTCCCTATTCACATTCAGGCGCTCCCTCAAAACCCATCTCTTCAGGGAAGCCTACCCCACCCTCACCTAACGGCCATCCTCCCTCATTCCTCCCACCACTTCATCCCCCTCAGCCACTTCCTACTGTACCACTACCCCCTCCCTCCTAGATTGTAAGCTCGTAAGAGTAGGGCCCTCTTACCCCTCGTACGTTGTTTGTTGTTGTTGTACTGTGCCATGTATTGTCCCCCCTATTGTACAGCGCTGAGCAAACCCTTTGGCGCTATATAAACTCGTAGTAATAATAATAGTAATAATGCCAGCTATAGATGGGTCAAAAATCGGCCGATGTTTGAACCGTTAGTGGGTTAATTGGTCGGCCGTTTTCAGGCCTTTTGCACATTTTTTTAAATCGGGCATGTTGGAAAATTCGCGGCCGATTTTGACAATCAGCTGATTTTTCTCGGCAATAATGGGCAAATCGACCGATAAAAAATCTGCACATGAGCCGTGACCTGCAAGAAGAAGAAAAAGAAGAAGAATTCCAGTCCGCTATTATATTTTATATGAAAAGTATTGCGGTTGCAACAATGTATCCATTTGTATCCGAATAAAAACATCTGTATCCGAAATGGACACAAATGGTTACATTGTTGCAACCGCTTTTTCATGTAAAATATAATAGCGGAGCTCTCTGCAGGGACAGAAGTAATTATGGGGTTACATGCCGGCCGTAGACAGGACGAAAATCGGCCGATTTCTTTAACCGTTGGTGGTAACGTCGGCCGATTGAACGACCAATTTTTTGTTTTTTTTAATAAAAAAAACGTCCGGTTTTCGACACGTCTATGGCTTATATAACTCTGATCTTTAAACCTGACCCTGACATCGAAGGTTTTACGCCGCGAATATTGAAGCCATGAATTGATTTAATACATCTTTTTGTCAGGCAGGACTTGATGCCCCATTATATGGCGCGGCTATAACCGGTGTTACCTCGTAGCCGCTTCCAGTGAATGACTCATGACCGCGTGCGTTTTATTGCGCCTGATACAAATGTCTCGCTCTGGCCTGTTACTAGCAGTTACAGGGAAATAAAATGAATTCCAGGTCCTTCCAATAAAGAGAATTAAATTCGATATCTACACCGGCTCCGTTTTTTTTTTTTTTTTTTACTGGCCGGCTGAAATATAGGAACATTAAATGTAACTGCTTGGTTCACCTGCCCCGTCCATCCCTTCGCGTTTTACAGCATCCAGCAATCCCGCGTTCCTCCGCCGATGGATGTGGCAGGCGTCCAGTATCAGGCGGAACCGCTCGAACGTCTGTTCTGGTAGCAGACATAAATATTTGAGAGACGCACAGCGTATATGGAAACAAACATGTTACAATGGAATAAAGTACAGATGGCTACATTGTATGCTAAAAGCTCCCAAAGTGACAGCCTGGAGGCGCCATTTCTGGAGAGACCGAATACAAAGTGCTGCCAGTTGTGATGCGAGGTGTGACACATTTTAATTCTCAGAATAGACTGAAAAAAGAAATGTTTGCTATTGTTATCTTCAATGTAGTCTTCTTTTCTAGATGACTGTGCCACTGCTGGGAACATTCCTGGAATTCGGAACGCTGCGCTTGTATCTTTGTCGAAGCGAGCTGATTGTCCAGAGTGTCATCAAATCTGTGTCCTTTTAAAGCATTTTTTTTAATGTCAAAAGTCGCAGGGTGCTAAGTCAGGGGACTGAGGTGGTTGGTCAAGTTTTGTAATGGATATCTGGGCCTTGCAAACATTTAAACACATCACGTGCAGGAGCATAGTCGTGGTGGAGAATCCACGTGTCAAGCCGGAGTTCCAGTCTTTTCCTCCAAACAGATTCCTGTAACCTTTTCATTTTCCACATTTGCATCCCTTCTTTGCGTTTTGTCTGCCCACTTTCGTCATCATGAACGTCTTCCCGCCCTTCCTTAAACCACCTATGCCATTCACAAAAACTTGATTATGTTCATGGAATGTTCACCATAAGCCTGCCGTAACAGAGCTAAAGTTCCACTCACAAATATGTACATTTTCACACAAAATTAATTTGATGTTAATCCACTGCTCCGGATTCCCGTCACTCGTTTTCAGCGCAACAAACACACATGTTTTTTCTTCCACTACCCCGTAAAGTCCATTGGTCTGCAACCCAGATGAGTGCAAGTTAGAACATGGCAGAACATGCTTGAGTGTGGCTCACCACCATATGGCTAAGCCACGGGAAGTCCGGAAATATCCGATTGCCTCTCAGGGGATCAGGAAGTAACTTTTTCCCCAGCAGGAGAAAATTGGATCGTGCTTTGCTGGGTTTTTTTGCCTTCCTCTGGATCAACTGTGGGTATAGGATTATAACTTTTCTTTTTTTTTCGGTGGAACTGGATGGACTTTGGTCTTTTTTCAGTCAGACTAAGGCCCCATGTACACGGGACACTGCTGAACGATGGAAACTGACTTCTGGAAAACGTAGGTTAAAAAACATCTGTTTAGCCGCGTTTGCATAACATGTTTATGCACGGATGCATTTAGAAGCGTTTTTTAAAGATAAGCACAGGAGAACCTCCCAAATGCCCAGAATGTACTGAAAAGTGGTAAATTATTAACTAATTCAGACTGTTTCAGAGAAATACAGAGAGTAGAAGCAGAGACAGTAGTATGTGTTGAGATTAGCTTAGGTGTGAGTTGCTCATTAACATTTCTTTTGTTTCCAAGGGTGGGAAGGTGTCTGGTGGAGGGAGTCGTTAGGGTCACCTGGCAGGGGGTCTTCATGAAGAATTTGAGGTGTGAATGGTCATTAACATATCTTTTGTTTACAGGGGGAGAGAGGTCTGAGGTGTGAATGATCATTAACATATCTTTTGTTTCCAAGGGAGGGAGAGGTCTGAAGTGTGAATGGTCATTAACATATCTTTTGTTTCCAAGGGTGGAAGAGGGCTGAGGTGTGAATGGTCATTAACATTTCTTTTGTTTACAAGGGTGGGAAGGTGTCAGATGGAGGGAGTCATTAAAGTCACCTGGCAGGGGGTCTTCATGAGGAATTTAAGGTGTGAATGATCATTAACATATCCAAGGGTGGGAGAGGTCTGAGGTGTGAATTGGTCATTAACATATCTTTTGTTTCCAAGGGTGGGAGAGGTCTGAGGTGTGAATGGTCATTACAATGTATGACAAACTTGGTAGGAACATCCTATGTTCAGTGTTTTGTCCATCTGAGTACCTTGAAAACACTTTGCATGCTTTTTTCATGATGAAAAAAGGCTCTGGACAGCATCGGGAACTGGAAGAGTTAAAAAAAATTTCAAACGCAAACGTTTTGCGTTTGAAACGCTGATAAAATTGACTGCTGAACGCAAGTTTTCTGTGTTCAAAAAAAACGACTGTAAACTCAAATGCCTGTAAATGCCTGTAAGCGATGATGTGTACATGGACACAGATGAAAACATTAGGGAGAGTTCAGGGGCTGCTGAAAAAAAACTGCTGAACAGTTCCTAAACGTGAGTTTATCAGCTGCAGTGTACATGGAGCCCTAACTATGTAAAGTACATAAAGCTGAAAACCACAGTTGTGACAGATGAAGCTGAACACACACAGAAACACGTTGCCCTTTAGCAAACGCATGGTGGTGCCATTACTTGGTAATGGCACCCTCTCGTATTGGGTAATGCCAGGACTGCTGTTAGAAACCACAGAGCCCCATACAGCCAACCTGGCAAGACCCCACCATTTCCAAAAAAAACCAATTTACTATGTTTCAATTATGAATAAACACAGTGATTCATTGGTACCGGATTACTCATTGTGTTTTATTCAAGAAAGGAAGGGGCTGGTAAATGTGACACATTTACCAGACCCTTCCCCCACTCTCCATCCCGAAGGATCCTATTGTATGCTTGCAACTGCCGATGGGAATGAGAAGAGGGAAGCCAGCAACATTACAGGGGTGGGGGCAGAAGAGGGACTGTATGGTGTACAGTAGGGGTATCAAAACGGTGGCCCTC